AGATATGTTTAAAACATCGGAAACTTTTCAAACTTTTGTTACAGCGAAACGGAAACGAAATACACGACTGAATTGATTTCAATGGGGTAAGGATAGTAACTACTATACCATGGCCTAGATGCCCGCTCATGATCATGAACTCGAATCAAATAACTTTACACAAAAGTTGTTTATCAAAAAGGTTTCACCCAGATAGTAATGATACCAGCACAAAAGATAACATGTCTACACAAGAGCTATAAAGAACCGTAGGGTATGAGTAGTTAGTTTTAAAAGTTTGCCCTCAGACCTTACTGTCGTGTCTGGAGCTCCTTATAGCCTGAACACGTCGTTACTCGACTTTAAATTTCGGTATTTGATTAATGGTCATTTTTATTTGTCATTGTTACATAGTGTTCTGTAATGGTTTCAAAAAACTGAGGTCACTGCCCTTGACACCGCAGAGAAATTTCGGTTACTGAATCAGCGTTTTAACAGTTAACGTGTATCATGTGACTCTGAGAACATTATTTTTTTACAGGCATTTATTTAGGTATCTCTAATGATGTTTTAAAAAGAGCATAGCATGATGAAAAAAAGCCTCAATTTTGATAAAAACAACGATTTATCCTCAAAATGTTTATGTCATTATTAAAAGGAATGACCAAATTTTTTTTTAATACTTTATTCGTTTTTTTATTTTTTTGTTTTTTAATCATTTCTAGCATGTTCAAAATTTTGGTGAAAAAATCTTGTTTTTCTTGCATCCACAGGTGGGCGAAAGATTAATAAAGGGATTTTTAGCATCTTTTTCTGGCGTTAAAAACATTGTTTTGGAAATTCTTGAAAAAAAAAAATAATTGTTGGATTTTAATTAAATTTTCTGAACTTATTCACAAATAAATGAAATTATTTCTGATTTTTTCTTTTTGATTTTTTAAAAATTCTGGTAATTTTTTTTTTATATCTGTTACTCCCACTAACTTAATTTTATGAAATTTTGAGAAATTAAAATTTCATTTTCTTCATATTGAAAAACAGGATTCTTTGGAGAATTTAAACCATCACTTTGTTTTTATCGAACAGAGACACCATTTACAGAAATCTGATCTGATTTGTAAAATAAAAAATGCAATAAAGCTATGACTTTATTTAATTAGAAAAGCTTTTAATTGCTTTTATAAATAAGATTTATTAAGGCCACGATTGTCTTAAAAAAAATTCGATCAAAAATTAATTTTTACAAAAAAAATTTTTATTTTCTTTTAAATTTCAATTAGAGGAATTTATTAAGTTTTAAATCTTTTAGATGATATTATTAAGTGAAAACTATATTTATTAGTAATAAATGGAAAAGCTTAGTACAAATCATCAAATATCAATATTTTTAAAAGAATTTAAAATTTTTTGATATGCGTATAAATATCAAATTTTTGTTATGCGCATGCGTTCTTTGGAGGCACGGTGAAGTAATGGATAGCGACTCGGCTTGAGGAATCGGAAAGCCGAGTTCGAATTCCACTCGAATCCATTACATTCACTTACGTGCTAATACCCTTGGGAAAGATATGAATACTCTTCTCCTCCCTCCAGCTATGGGTAAATAGCAGGAGAGACAGTTCTATAGCCTTAGATGCCAACTGATCTACTGCAGAAAGAAAAAGCAGCCTACTGTGTGAAAAGGTTCTGCCTCGTCAGTCATGTATCGAAACATACACTATCGCCTAAGCGTGTGTCATGCATGGCACATAACTGACTTACGTATTTTTTAAGTACGGGTGACCATACACGATATTATGTGAATCAACATTTCCAAAATTTAATAAAACATTGGATTACGGAGAATATTTTCCTAAATTGTTTAGATTAATCCGTACTTAAAAATTATGCTCCCGTTATTTTCTTATTATGTTATGTTTTACAGATAAAAATCTCCACCAGATCTGTCATTAGGCTGTCAGCACATCAAAACAGCCATTCAGTCAGTTATGTGCTTAGGCGATCATGTATCTTTCGATACATGACTGACAAGGCAGATTTTTTTTCCTGCAGTAGGTTGCCATTTCTTTCTGTGGTAGACCAGTTGCCATCCAAGGCTATAGAACCTGGTCTGTCCTGTTATTTACCGATGGCTGGTGGGGAGAAGAAGAGGATTCATACCTTTTCCAAGGTTATTAGAACACGTAAGTGAATGTAATGGATTCGACTAGAATTCGAACTCGGCTCTCCGATTCCTCAATCCGAGCCGCTATACATTACTCAACCGCTGATTGCAAGACGTCCACAGCGGCAACGAAAAACAAAACTATCGGGTTAAACCACAGCTAACAGCAGGTTAAAAATTAACGTCTGTGATATTTTAAACTTAAAGTAAAATAATATTTGTTTTAAATCAGATTAATTATACTTTAAATCAGATTAATTATACTTTAAAATCAGCGAATATTTCTCAAATACTGTTTCTGGAAAGTAGATTTGTTTTTTGAAAGATTATTTAATAAAAAGAATTACATAGCGATCTCTTAGCTGAAATTAAAATAAAAGCTTTAAGAAACTTTTTTAAAATTCATTTTAAACCCGGAGTGTCATTTTGTTCTGTTTTCATTTTTAGTTGCTTACATTTAACATCTTCAGACACAATAGACTAAAATATGCTTGGAGCTTGGACATCTAGTGAGGAACTTGTAGTAGAAAGGATCTGCGAAAGTAACGTATTAAATACTACACCATGACTATTATTCAATAGTCGCAATCGCCGGCGAAAAGAACTCTCTAAAACTGCATTCTTGCAAGGTATCTACCAGCAACCTCCTTAACTTAAAAAAAAAAAAAACTTGGATGATATCTTTATTGGTAATCTATTCAGTAAGGTATGAGTAATGATATTGGTAAGGATGACCGCTTCCATGCAGCAAACATTGGTATTCACAAACTGAAAATTTGGCAATCTCAATATTAGTGATGTCTTCAGACTTTCAGTAAACATGTTCATTTATTAAACATGTTTATTCATTAAACGTGTTCCCGGTTGAAATTTATAAAAAAACAAATATTATTAAAATTATTATTTCTAAAAAAATATTATTTATAAAAAATATTATGATTTATATAAATTGTTATTTATAAAAAAAATATTATTTACAAAAACTTATTATATATAAAAAAAATATTATTTATAAATAATTATTATTATAAAAATATTATTTGTAGAATGTATTATGTAAAAAAAAATTAATATTTATAAAAATATCATTTCTAAAATTATTTATAAAAAATTAGTATTTATAAAATAATTATTCTTATAAAATTATTATGTATAAACAATTATTATTTATAAAAAATTATTATTTATAAAATTGTTATTTATAAAAAAATATTATTCATAAAAATTATTATTTATAAAAAAATAAATATTTATAAAATTATTAAGTATAAAAAAATTTATTATTTATAAAATTATTAAATATAAAAAAATTATTATTTATAAAAATCAGTATTTATAAAATTGTTATTTATAAAAAATTATTATTTAGAACAAATTATCATTTATAAAATAACTATTTACAAAAACTTATTATTTATAAATTTTATTATTTATTAAAACATTATTATAAAATTATTATTTATAAAAATACTACGTATGTATAAAAAATATTATTTACAAAAAAATTATTTTTTATAAGAAAATCATTATAAAATTATTATTTCTAAAATGTATTAAGTATAAAAAATATTATTTACAAAAATATTATTTATAAAATAATTATTACTATAAAATTATTATTTATAAAAAATTATTATTTTTGGCAATTATTATTTTTAAAAAATTATTATTTTTTTTAAAAATTATTAAAATTATTACTTTTTCGGTAAAAATTTTAAACACTATTTATTTATTAGATTGTTTATTTATAAGAATAATTTCATATTTACAATATAAATTAAAACTAATACAATTAATTATTCATAATTTTCCAATTTATAAAGAAAAAATATAAAAACAATTTGTTATTCATAAATATGTAAACATTTGCTACATTGTTAAAATATGTGAACGAACTATAAGAAAATCTTTATTATTTTACTATTTAATAAAATACAAATGATTTGGCAATGAACCGATGTTTTGCCAACCATTCTAATAAGCAATGTTATAAATAAATATTGTAAATAAACATTCTAATAAAAAAATAATGTACATTCTTTTTCTTGTCAATTTGCATGCATAAAGAAAATGTCTAAATTCACTTTTATAAGTTTAGATTTTATTCCAATTCTAATCAGCGCCTTTTAAAGCAACAACAATTGCCGAGAGGAGAAGGTAGTTAAAATAATAGTGGTATCAAGGGAAAAGCCTCCTTTTGGCACATCATTTTTTATGGGCATGAAGGTTGAAGATTGCCCAATTATTATTCAAATAACTAGGATATTAGCATAGAGACGATTTCGAATAATACTAACAATAATTGGATATCTAACATTATTATATTAAAATGGAAAGTCTAGTGGCATTTTTGACATGACCACTTTTAGGTCACTTTTTATTACATGCTGTAAAATATTGTTTACTTTCTAATGTTTTTTTTTTGTTTCCTTTCTTTGTAGCAGGATGGGTGAATTTTGTATCGATTTTTACCCTTTTGAAATGAATTCAGAAAGGGCTCTTTAGCTTAGGAAATTATAGGGGAATAATCGTTCTGTCTACAGAAAGGAAGCTTTAATTGTCTGGATATGCTAACGACGGTTTGACCAATTTTAATATGGAATTTTTTCTTTCGAAAATTTCCTTCGACCGAACTCGGTCAATGCTGAGATTTTTCTTGGTCCCATTTAAGGAAAATCCTTAGCAACATGCGCAAGAATGAGTAAAAGAATTCAATAGAAGGCACACTTTGATCGTAAAACACATTCATGAATTCAGAAAATGTGTAAACTTGGTTAATGGGTTCCTCATCATCTGAGTGCTTCTTAACTTAATTAAAGTGTTGCCCACTATAAAGGGTGAACCTCACTGTTATATA